AAGTACAAAAAAAAAAACGTTTTTTTATGAAAACTGGTCTTTGAATGAAGAAGGCAAGGACCAAGTTAAACACACTAAATATTATAGTTTACTATAATTGAAACTGTGAGTTAGACTTTGAGGAGAGAGATAAGTGGAGGATCAAATGTCTCAACACATGTCCTATATTGTAACTTTGAGCATATCGTTTGACAGGTCATGAAACATCAAGTGGTAGTGTATGGAGCAAGGATGGCCAAGCGGTTAAGTGACTGTCTTGTAACTTTGAGCATATTGTTTGACAGGTCATTAAACATCTAGTCGTAGGGTATAGAGCAAGGAGTGGTTAAAATGGATCGATGTTCCTGCATGGCCAGGGCATCAAGCTGGTCCTCTTCCTTGCTCCATGAGACTTTTTCTCTAGGTACAGTRTGCTGGTTTCCTTCCCTCATAAAATAGGTGTGAGGAGTGCCATATGCTAAAACAGTCAATATTGAGGTGGAGTTTGTGGGTCTGAGTCTCCCCAATTAGTAGGTCACTTTTTATCTGGCTAGAGCGATTGAGACATAATAAAGTTACTTATTTATTGCTAATTTTCACTGTCACAACTATGCTAATGTCATTTGTTAGCTCAGTCTAGTTTTCATACTCAACACATACCCTCATTGATGTCAGCCTTTGAACCTGATCTTGGATTAAAGATTTGAGTGGAGACACTACAAACGTSACCCCCTGACCCAGCAATGCCGTTACTTGATAGCACAAACTCTTCCCTCCTCCAGTAGGCATCAACACAAAACAGTTCTTCTTCATCATGGAGGCATTAATGACTTGTAATTGGTTGGTACGTAAACTCTTTATATGGAAGATATCTCTAAGTATTTTCCACATGTCTCTAGAGTAAGGAAAATCTGTGCGGGACAACTCAACTAAAATCAAGAAAAAAATTGCTGTCACGCGAATAATTACTTAAAAAAATATTGCTTCGCTGCTATATGGTTCCAAGGGTAGATAAAGGGCAGGTTAAGGGGGGGTTAAGGGTGCATTAGGGGCAGATCAAGGGTACATGTAGATCTAAGGCGGGTCAACAGTGGATCAAGTGCGGATCAAGGTGGATCAAAGGCAGATCAGGGGCAGATCAAGGTGGATGAAAGGCAGATCAGGGGCAGATAAAGGCGGATAAAGGCAGATCAGGGGCAGATCAAGGTGGATCAAAGGCAGATCAGGGGAAGATAAAGGCGGATAAAGGCAGATCAGTGGCAGATAAAGGTCGATCAAAGGCAGATCAGAGGCAGATCAAGGTGGATCAAAGGCAGATCAAGGCGGATCAAGTGTAGATCAAAGGCAGATCAGGGGCAGATCAAGTGTGGATCAAAGGCAGATCAGGGGCAGATCAAGGTGGATCAAAGGCAGATCAGGGGCAGATGAAGGCAGATCAAAGGCAGATCAGGGGCAGATGAAGGCGGATCAGGGGCAGATAAAGGTCGATCAAAGGCAGATCAGGGGCAGATCAAGGTGGATCAAAGGCAGATCAGGGGCAGAT